ATGACAGGGGCTTGGGTGGAGGGCAAATGTTTTGAGAATGATGAGGGCAATGAATGTACAAATGTGCTTTACACAATCGATGTATGTATGGATTGTGATAAGAGTTGTATGAGCCCCTAATAAAACGATTAAAATTTTTAAAAAGAGAGAATGAACTCCTCTGGGCTCTGACCAACTATACAAGCGGCGGAAGTCGAACAGATTGGTCAACCTCGTCCACTGTGGCATAATAGAACCACTGATGAGCCTTTTAACTGTGGAGGTAATTCTGGATGCCATTTAAAATCCCTTCAAGCTGTTGAGAATATCAGTGAAATGAGGCACTTAGTGTAGTGATTGGAGAATGTGTAGGCTTGGACAAGATGAAGCTCTACAAAACCATGACAACGAGTCTGTCTGTATACAAGGCTTCCCTTGAGCTTGACTGAGAAGTATTCTCCATAGAGGAGGAGGAAGATCAAAAGGTCAGAATCATGATCCAGAAATGACCTCTGAAGGACATGCCTTCCAAGCTCCGGATGGCACCCCAGGGACCTTCAAGCCTGGGCAGCTGAGTCCTAAGGCTGTTTGTTGTGTCCTTGGTTTGGTATAAATGTGCCTTAACTTTTTATAAAAGTGATGTGTTAATGGAGTACTTTTTACAACCAGACTGTACTCGAACAGTTCCAAACTGGACGTCCTGTATGAAGCCTGTCTCCTGTCCCCGGGTGTCCTGTTTCTCTGTGGAATTTCTGATCTCGTCGTGTCCTGCAAATGAAAATTCCATCTTTGAAAAAATTAAATTGTGCATTACCTTTCTAATAATTGTTTTTTACGTGGTTAGGTTTCTGGCCTCATTCGCAAAACACTAACTTTGTATTCGTTTGTCTGAGATTTCCTTCTTGTCCTTCTTTCAAGAGCCAGCTCTTCCATTTTATCTATGCAGCTTGGTGTCTCTTTTCTTGTTTTAGGTTGTCCTTACTAAGTTACTCCTCAATTTCTACTGTTTGGGTTTCTTTAAGGTTTTGTAATATTGAACGCATGTTTTGTATATCTTCAGTCTTTCTAAGAAAGAACTTTACATTTTACTAGGAGGAAAACAAAAAGAAATAGAATGGCTTTCAGGAAAATATCACTGCATGGCACAAAGCCACTTACACAAAAATTATGGCAGAAGGCAGTCAGGGAGAATAAATCTTATACACAGAAAAGACCAGGGTCATGGTCCCTTATATACAAAGAGCATCCATCAACAGGAAAGCCATAGAAAAGCAGACAAGAGGTATAGGGGAGCCTACATATGAGGTCAGTGAATCTGAAAAGACAAATCTGGCCTCACCTGGTAACAGGAAGAGAGAGAGCATCTTGAATAGCCTCCAGACACATCATTACTTTAATATGGGTATAAAAACAGCAGCTTCTCTTACCTGGTCGTAAACACAGCTCTTTTGTTCACAACAGAAACAGCCAAGCGCCCTTCGAGGTGAAATGCCAAACCCACGTGCCCTGCTTCTCTTATAGGAGACGGGCTCTTGAGTGGATAATTGCAATAACATGAAGAGCCATTTTCACCCGACAGCTAACAGGACTCGCAGTTAACCCAGCGACTGAAGGGCCCAGGGGCTGAGGAGTTGAGAAAATGGAAACACACGCTGGTGGCAAAGACTTGCTACGTGCTACCTACCTTTCATGGACCCGTGTCAAAAAAGGGGGTCATGGCTTTGTCTTCTTCTGGCGTGTCAGTGAGTGACCTCTTCATTCGTTCCACCTGGTGGGGGTCAACACCAGGGGCGGCTCCTTCTCAGCTGGCGCACACACGACACCTGCGCTCCCCACGCCCCCTGAGCAGAAGCCTGGAGGCCCTGGTTGAAAGCCCCACCCACCAGACTGATGTGTGAGCTGGCAGTGGGGTTCCTACACACTTCCGGGGGTGCTTCGTATCAGTGATGGATGAGGAAACCCTGCTTCAGCCCCTCGACTGCACCCCCTCGAGTCACAGCTTCCCAGAGGCATGCTTGCAGAGATTCAGAGTGCACAATTCAACTCCAGGGGCATGTCCGTCACCCTGAACGTTTCCAAGTGCCTCGTTGCTCTCCACTCTTCCTTCCCCAGGCCACCGCCGATGTGGGGTGTCGTGGCGGGTCAGGCTGCATCCGATGCCCCTGGCATGGTCCAGCATGAGTAGGGTGAGAGTCAGCAGTAGCTTTGCTCACTGTTACTTGGAGTCATAAGCCGCCCTGTGGGCATATTGCAGTCTAGCCTCCTGTGGTGGGTGTGTAGTCTTTCCTAAGCCTCTCTCTGTAGGCTCCCATCTGCAAGCCCGATGGGAAGACCAGGGGCTGTGGGACGACCACGGGCGATTGAAGAGGTGCAATCAGTGACTGTTCACTTCTATTGAAAAATAGAGGATACTGGTTAAAAAAAAAAAAAGGACAATCGCATACATTTTGGGGGAAAGGGCTGTTAAAATGCATATCTTTCTATTTGGAGGATGGCACTTTGATATTCTTTTCTTACAGATGTGTAGCCTCGGCAGTGCAAGACACCTCAAAAGTATCTGGAGTATGGAATCCCATTTCCATGATGGAAAGCCAAGGCAGAACGTTTATACTTGCAAATATGTGTGCAAACATATATCTACACACACATATCTACACTCACTGCCTTCAGGTTGATTCTGACTCACGTGACCCTGTAGGGCAGGGTAGAACCGCCCCTGTATGTTTCTGAGACTCTAAGTCTTCACGGGAGTAGAAAGCCTCACCTTTCTCCGATAGAATGGCTAGTGGTTTTGAACTGCTAACCTTGCGGTTAGCAGCCCAACACAGAATCATGATACCACCAGGGTTCCTAGAAAGGTGGTGATAAATTGCCTTTATGAGAGAGGCAGAGAGCTGGGCACCACAGAACCAATTTCCAGTTTCTGTCACTGGAGGGCGCTGGAAGTGTCCTTGGTGGAATAAATATCTTTTCCGGTAACATTATACGAAGTCAGCATGAACTTAGGACAGCAAGAGCTAACTAGACACATAAAGGGAATTTTATTTTTTAATCCTTTTGAGTTTGGGATAGGTGCTGACCCACAGCAACCTCCCGTACAAGAGGACAAAGGGTGGCCTGACCTGGCACCAGGCTCACAGTTATTGCTATGTTTAAACAAAGGCACTGGTGTGGCCGCATGCCACTCCATCTTGTGGAGGCTCTTCTCCATGGACCTTGGGAAATCTTGAAAAATACCAGAGAGATTCGTGTAGAAGTAAAGGTCATCCCACCCCCACCCCCAAATAATCCCATCAGCGGTGGCTCTGGTGTTTACATTTTTTAGGTGTCTGATCGTCATTATTGTAAATTCCATTTAACCAATTCACTTCTATACCGTGCATTTATTTCTGTCCAACTCTGAGCTCCATGAGGAGCCCTCGTGGCTCCATCGGTAAATGAAAGACAACTGCCTGCAAGACCGGTGCTTCACACTCACCAGCTGATGTAGGGAGAGAGAGGCTGCCTGCTCCTTAAAGACTTACACCCCACGAAGCTCGAGAGAGGACTTCGAATCAACACAACGATCGTGAGCGTGGTTTGCTTCTTTGGTTTCTCAGGCCCACAACCAGCCAATAATTACAAAGATGTTTAGGTTTGGTTTGGCTTGTTTGTTTTAACCTAAGTTTTAGGGATAGTCCCTGGAGACATAGTAGTTAAGTGCTTGGCTGTGAACCAAAAGGTTGGCAGTTCAAATCCACCAGTCGGTCTGCTGGAGAAGCATGAGGCAGTCTGTTTTCTTTTTTCTTTTTTTTTTTTAACATTTTATTAGGGGCTCACACAACTGTTATCCCAATCCATACACACATCAATTGTGTAAAGCGTATTTGTACATCGTTTCTCAAAACATTTTCTCTCCATTTAAACCCCCGACATTAGGTCCTCATTTTTCCCCTCCCTCCGAGGCAGTCTGTTTTCATAAAGATTGCTGACTCCCCTCCGTGTGCAGAAGTCTGCGGGTGACAGTGACAGCCCCAAACCCGATTTCAGGGTCCCCGCATGAACTAAGCCTCTGTGAATCCCCTCAGACCAATGACCAGGGATGGGAACAGCCTTGCTATCAGAGCACATGGGAAAGTGGATTAATGCAGACAGAGTGGGGTTAAAATTTAACACCTTATCATTTGTTCTCCCTTTTGACCCATTTTAAATTTGTTCTCATTTTCATTGTTTTCTTTTCTTTCCAACTGAGGTTATTCTATGTTTTCAGGAAGGGTAAATCTATAGACAATAAGTGGTTTCTAAGGGTTATGGCAAGGGGAGGTTGACAAGAAAGAAGAAAATCTTCTAATGATTTTGGGTGATGATTACACAACCCTTTTTATTTTTTCATAATAGTTTTATTGACATATCCTACACAATCCAATATTTCCATTCACATACAATTCTCAATTCTGTTGTTCAGTCCCCTAGAGAGAAGTTATGCAGTTACAGATGCTATCAGCTCCCCACCCCCGACCCCCTTCTTCCCACCTCTTCCCCTACCCTCAGGGAACCGTTAATCCTCTTACTGTTTCAGAAGGGTTATCTATCTATCTTTCATGCACTGAACAATCTTACATATACAAATGAGCATACACGAATCTAACATGATTAATGAGGGAAAACAAATAAATACCTTAACAGTAAGGGGAGGAAATATTGAGTGACTAAATAGTTATGTGGTTCATCAGTGCCATACCGCACCCTGGATTCATCATCCGTTCCAGGTAGCCTTTCTGAGAGGGACCGTCCAATTACTTGGCAGATGAGCTTTGGTTCTCTATTGCATCTATGCCCCTGCACATTGAGTTGGTTGCGTGATTGTGACCGTATGATACCTCTTCCTGTGGACACCTCATGAAAACAGACTGGTGTGCTTCTTCCATGTGGACTTTGTTGCTTCCCTGCTAGATGGCCGCTTGTGTAATTACAAGCCTTTAAGACCTCGGATGCTATACCCTTTGATTGCCAGGCACCATCAGCTTTCTTCATCACATTTGCTTATTCACCCATTTTGTCTTCAGCAATTGTCTCAGGAAGGTGAGTATCATACAATGCCACATTGTTAGAACAAACCATTATTTGTATGTGTGTTTGTGTATCCTTTGAAATGTTCTTTTCTTTTTAAATTTTTTATTAAAAGATCATTTTATTGGGGACTCTTACAACTCTTATTACAATCTGTACATCAATTGTATCAGGCATATTTGTACATATGTTGCCATCATTATTTTCTAGATATTTACTTTCTATTGAGGCCTTGGTATCAGCTCCTCTTTTTTCCCTTCCCCCACCCCTTGTGGCCCCTTGATCGATTGTAAATTATCATGTTCATATCTCACACCAACCACTGTCTCCCTTCCCCCATGAGTTCTGTTGTTCTTCCCCCTGGAGGAGTGTGTGTGGTTATGTGTTGATCATTGCAATCAGTTCCCTCTTCCTCTCCTCATTCCCCCCCTCCCTTCTCCCTACCCTTCTGGTATCAGTATTCTCATTCCTGTTCCTGGATTCCATGTGTTGTGAGCTCTTATCTCTTATCTATACCGGTGTATATGCTCCGGTCTAGTCCGAAGTGAGAAGCAGCACTGGGGTTATGATAGTGGGGGTGAGGAAGCCTCAAGGAACCAGAGAATTTTGTGTTTCATCAGTGCTTGACTGAACCCTGATTGACTCATCCCTTCCCTGCAACCCCTCTGTGGGGTGATTTCCATTGTCTACAGATGGGCTTTGGGTCTCTGTTCTGACCCCTGTCATTCTCAACAATGTATTTTTGTTTGGTTGTTTTGGGTCTTCTGATGCCTGTTATCTGATCCTGTCCACACTTCATGATCTCACAGGCTGGTGTGCTTCTTCATGTGGGCTTGTTGCTTCACTGCTAGATGGCTGCTTGTTTAACATCAAGCCTTTAAGACCCCAGAGGCTATATCTTTTAATAGCTGGGCACCATCTGCTTTCTTTACATTTTTTTCCCCGTTGCATAGATACAGCACATTTTACTTATCCATTGTTTGACTCTTGAGATGGGTGTTGGTAATTTAAAAAAAATCATTTTATTGGGGGCTCATACAACTCTTATCACATTCCATACACACATCCATTGTGTCAAGCACATTTGTACATTTGTTACCATCATCATTCTCAAAACATTTGCTTTCTACTTGAGCCCTTGGTATCAGCTCATTTTTTCTCCTCCCTCCTTGCTCCCCACTTCACAATTGCTTATGCACCTATTTTGTCTTCAGTGATTGTGCCAGGGGGGTGAGCATCACAAAATGCCAGAGAACAAACCATTCTTTAACTGAGGCAAGATTTAGGTAGAAGCCCAAAGTCCATCTGCTTCCTTGTTGTATATATATATTTCCTCCCCTCCTACCCAACAGTTGTTTACTCATAATTTCCATTTTAATAATTCCTCTGACACAGTTCAATTGTTCAAAGACATTGAGAGAAGCTACACACTCGGTGTCATCAAATTTAGAACACTTACTATT